GACTGAGCTGTGTGAAAAATACTTCTCAGTGCTTAATGTGTGCCTTTGTATTTTGCTATTTTCCAAAAGTCATTATTTATGATAGCTGAGAAAAATTTTTTAAAAATTAGTAACTTAAAATTACAGTAAACCCATGCTTGCAATAAGTAGTTTATTTCTCCTACCCATCTTCCTTTAATAATTGGAGAAAACCAGGGAAATATTTAGAGCAGAGAAGCAAAAAACATCATATCAACTACAAGAATTTGAATGTTCTAGGAAATTATGAAGATCAACTTTCATTGCCCAAGTACTCTGACACATTCTCTTCACCTTTTCCCCTGACATCGCCATTTAAAAATGAGTTACAAGTATACTGTGTATCATTTTCTTCCTAAAAATTGTTAGGTCATAATTTAAATGTTTTTAAACATTTTTAAAAATTTAGTTGAAAAGAGACAATCTTCCATCCACTGGTTCACACCCCGAATGTTGGCAGCTGCCAGGGGTGGGCCAGACTGAAGCCAGGAATCTAGAACTCAATTCAGGTCTCCCATATGGTGGCAGAGACTCAAGTACTTGAACCATCAACTGGTATCTCCTAGGACATGCATTTGCAGGAACTGGAATAGGAAGTGGATGTGGAACTACAAGACGGCACTACAATAAGGGATGTAGGAGGGGCCTGTGTGTAAAAATGCTGCCTTCTGTGTCAGCATCCTATATGGGCACAGGTTTGAGTCCTGGCTGCTCCACTTCCGATCCAGCTTCCTGCTAATGTGCCTGGGAATGTAGCAGAAGATGGCCCAAGCCCTTGGACCCCTGCATCTATGTGGGAAAGTGGGAAGCAGCGCCAGGCTCCTGGCTTCGGATCGGCTCATCTCCGGCTGTTGCGGCCATTTGGGGAGTGACCCAGTTTATGGAAGACCCCACCCCCTGTGCCTTTAACACTGCCTTTCAAATAAATAAATCTTAAATTAAAAAAGGGTATGCAGGTGACCCAAGTAATGTCTTAATACTGTGAAAATGCCTGTGCTAGTTCATAAGCATTTTTGTTATAATTCAACATTTTTAAGTATTTTGTGACTTCATAATAGTCTGCCAATTATATGTGCCAAATTAATACCATCTGACATGTTAATAACTGTTATTATAAACAAAACTGCATTTTTTTCAGATGCTTGCTGGACATACTGGAAGTACCATCCCATAATGTCATATGTTGCAGTTTTATTCCACTTACCCTTTTACGTGGGACATGTTTTAATTGTATTTAACTGTTGCTAGCAGTTACTTCCTTTGTGATTTCTTTTACTGCTTGTATCTTTCCTATTCCAAGGTCAGCAAATAACTCACTTGTTTGGTCTGTTTATAATTCATTTTTAGCTTTTTTTAAAAAAAACTTTTATTTAGTAAATATAAATTTCCAAAGTGCACTTTATGGATTACAATGGCTTTTTCCCCCCCATAACTTCCCTCCCACCTGCACCCCTCCCATCTCCCACTCCCTCTCCCATTCCATTCACATCAAGATTCATTTTCAATTATCTTTATATATAGAAGATTGATTTAGTATATATTAAGTAAAGATTTCATCAGTTTGCACCCACACAGAACATAAAGTGTAAAATACTGTTTGAGTACTAGTTTTAGCATTAATTCACATTGAACAACACATTGACAGAGATCCTACGTGAGGAGTAAGTACACAGTGACTCCTGCATTTTTAGCTTTTAAAAATTAACTTAGAATGTACGTGGGACAATCTGTTGAGGCAGATATTGAGGTAGACTTGTCCTATCTCAAGTAGTTTTAAGTCTAAGGAAGAATTTTTATTATTCTTCAACTTATTTGAAAAGCAGAGAAACAGAGAAATGCCCACAATGACCAGGGTTGGGCTAGGCTGAAGCCCAGAGCCCAGCACCCAGTCTGGGTCTCCCATGTGGGTGGCAGGGACCCCAGCACTTGAGACATGGTTTGCTGCTTCCCAGGGTGCACATTAGCAGGCAGGTAGAATCAGAGCCAGAGCTGGGACTCCCATACAGGATGGAGACATCCTCACAACAGTATCATAACCATTGTACCAAACATCCACTCTGAGGAAGGCTTTAACCAAATGTTCCCCAACTGGTTAACTTCTTTCATTATTATGATGTCTCATCATAAATCCAGTGTCTCTTTTCAATGCTCATTAGCTTATTATTCCTGTTTTGCAAAAATTCTTGGCAGTATTTGTTTTTCCCAATGATCTTTAGAAACACTTTATCACATTCTTATTGTTCTTCTGTAGTCCAAACATTAGGGTTGGTTGAAATTGCATTAAACCTACACATTCAATGAAAAAAAGGTATTTTAATAGTTAGTATTGCAGTATACAAACACGGTGCTTCTATATTCATTTAGATTTTGTACATTTCTTGTTAAAGTTATGCCTAACTACTTTACATATTTTATTGTTATTGTGAAAGAAATATTTTTAACATCATTTTGAGCTGGAAAGGCATTATTCTCAGTGGGCTTTTACTGTACAACCAGCATGCTTCAGTAGTTTGATTTACTCTGTAGATAGAAAAATCCAAGAACATTTTACTTCATAAACATTAAATGAATTTAGCACTGGAGAGATGAGAACACTAAGCACTGTGCATATTACTAGGAAAGACCAACTCTGTAATTTTTTAAGGAAGGAACTGAAGCCATTGGTTAATCACTGTATTCTGAAGTATACTACTACGTAAGTGAAATTACTGCATTTTACTTTATTACTTGAAATTGAGAAAAGGTAAGACACTGCTGCCCCCAAGTCTGTCACGGCAAGTGAAGGGTGACTTGAAAACAGGGAACTTTGAGAGTAGCTCATTATTGCCTACGCTGATAGAGCTTCATGTGTCTCACCTACCTCACTGTTTGACAGTGCATTTTGGAATAAGCAAGATGAATGATGTAGATAATTTCTCCCATGGCAGTTAGATTTAAAATGAATACTCTAAGTAAGTGATATATATACAAAAGATCAAGTTGTAAAACTGGTCTCCTGTCCTTGGTCCCAGTGCACCCTGTTGTCCTTGGAGAATGCACGCACACCTGCCACTAGTGCACCCTTCCTTTCTGAGGTGGCAAGATGCCAGCCCTGGCCAAGTGTTCACAGTGGAAAGTGCCTTAGACTCCTCTGAAATGAGAGTCAGTATGTAAATGTGCAACATGACATTATTATTCTAGCTTCCTGGCTGCTTTCAGCAAGCTCTGACTGCCACATGAGGTCTCAAGTGTTCTGGCAAGTGTTCAAAAGAAGTTAAAGTAATGAAATTGGATCTGCATTTCCACAGATATTCAAGCTGGCATGGAGGAATGAAGTCATGGAATCAGGGTTGGATGGTCTCCACTAAACAGTCTAGGCAAGAGCCTGGGGTGCCAGGCTACTAAGCAGAATTTTCTATCGTGAAAGGCCACTACTATTTCTTCCTCTGGGTCTAAAATTACACGCACACTTCCCCTAGGCTCACACCACTCCCTGGGTGCTTTATGCTCAATCTCACTATTCCCTGGAGTGCACCAACCTTGCTTAAATTCAGCGCAATCTTAAAAGTATATGGGGTGGGATGTGAGATTACGTACTTAGAACCCTAATATAGCATATGCTACTGTATCATATATAGAACTTATTTCTAAGAGTTGGGGGTCTGTGGCCAGTGGTGTGGCACAGCAGTTTAGGCCACCACTTGTGACACTGGCATCCCATGTCAGAGTGCTGGTTCAAGTGTTGGCTGCTCTGCTTCCAATTAAGCTCCCTGCTAATGTGCCTCGGAAAGCAGTATGAGATGGTCTGAGTACTTGGGCCCCTGCCACCCATGTGGGATACCGGTATGGAGTTCTGGGCTCCTGCCTTTGGTCTGGATCAGCCCTAGCCACTGTGACCATTTGGCAAATTAACCAGTGGATGGATGTTCTGTCTCTCCCTGTCACTCTTTCAAATAAATCGATTTGTTTTTTTAAAACGAGTTGCAGGTCAGGCTTAGTGTGTATCTAATCCAAGATACATTCTTACGAGATTTCAGCTGATCTTGTAATTTTTTGCAGTTTTCATTGCTTATTGATAGGCCTTCTCATTTGCAATCAGCATTCACTACAGCTAAACGATCTGTAACTACTATTGGACAGAGGCTTATGGGTGATGGGGTCAACAATGAGGTTTGCTAAGTGAAAAGTGGTAGGTCTGCGGTGGTGCCAAATGGTAATTCCAAGATCTGCTCTTCCTCTTGCACTACACCCACCACTGCCCAACACGCTTCTGTTCATCAGGACAAGAGCATCAGAACCCGTACTGCCTGGGCTGCAACTACCTTTGTGGCAGCACAGGTCCACAATGTACTCTAAAGAGCTTCAACGTTTGATGCACTCTGGTTATCCCTTTATATACCACAGAGATGACACTGAGGTTTCAAAGTGCAAGAGAAGGACAATTCAAAGAAAGCAAGCCCCTAAAGAGTATCTTTACTGGCCGGCGCCGCGGCTCACTGGGCTAAATCCTCCACCTTGTGGCACCAGCACACTGGGTTCTAGTCTCGGTTGGGGCGCCGGATTCTGTCCCAGTTGCCCCTCTTCCAGGCCAGCTCTCTGCTGTGGCCCGGGAGTGCAGTGGAGGATGGCCCAAGTCCTTGGGCCCTGCACCCCATGGGAGACCAGGATGGGTACCTGGCTCCTGCCATCTGATCAGCGCGGTGCGCTGGCCGCAGCGCGCTGGCCGCGGCGGCCATTGGAGGGTGAACCAACGGCAAAGGAAGACCATTCTCTCTCTCTCTCTCTCACTGTCCACTCTGCCTGTCATAAAAATGAATAAATATTTATAAAAAAAGAGAGTATCTTTACTAACAGGGAGGAGGAAGAAGGGTGGGAATGTGGGCGGGAGCGAGGCTAGGGTGGGAAGTATCACTGTGTTCCTAATTCTGTACTTACGATATTTGTATACCTTAAATTAAAAAAAATACATTTACTCACACAGAATTTCGTTTATTGTATTTTAGGACAGTGAAAAAAAGGGATTCATCAATAAAATCTATGCCATCCAGGAGGTATGTGTCAGTGTCCAGAACATCCTAGATGAAGTGGCTTCCTTTGGCGAAAGGATCAAGAAGTGAGTGATGTTGACCCGGCAGCCCTGGCCTCCTGTGGGGTCAGGGTGTGCATCTGTTTCACGGAGGGTGAAGTGCCATGTTCTTTTTGGCAGGGACACTCCTTCTGGGTGATCTATTGTTCATTTTCATCATTATTTACTTTGTCTCTGCCAGTCTTTGGTTTATGAAAGTTCTGTCAATTTCCTTCCTGAAATTTAGAACATATTGGTTGGAAAGAAGTCATACTTGTAGCTTTGAAGAAATAACACCGTCCTAAATTTTAACACATTTTTCACAGTGAAAGACTTTGTTCTTAAATGGAATACCATGAAATCATGATAGGAAAAAAACACGCTAAATAAGGATTCAGGTAATGAAGGCACCTGCTTTTTATTATTGGTTTAGATATATTTTACATTGTTACTCTAAATTGCTTAAAACATTTTTTAAATCTTTTAAATTTTTATGTAGTTAAACAGCTCAGATCGCAATTGTTAATGAAATAAACTAATACTTTGTAATTTGGAAAAATGCATGGAATTTTTACAGTTAAAGCCATAGCATCCCATTAAGAAACTGGCATTCTAATTTTACAATGTGCTTTATTTAAAAGAAATTTATTTACTAATACACTTTCACAACAACTTTCCTTATAAAGACCATAAGATAGATTTAAAATGACCGATTATCAAAGACATCCTAAGGCCCCATACTACTAAACTGCATGAAAATTGGCCAGCATAGGTTGATTTCTAATGGTCTACCCGAGAAGCAGTACTGTATATCCAGAGAAGCCCACATTTTCCCAGTTTCCTCTATCCATTGTTTATTTAGTCATAACCCAAAGTGTTCGACAGATTCGGATCTGTATCATGCACACTTTGAGAGGAGTAAATTATTTAAACCAAAGGTGTGAGTCACTTGTCCAGTGCCTTTCATGTGACAAGAGATAATGCATTTTCTTTTGTATAATTTTTTGTTCAATGGATTTCCCCATATGCATAGCTGCTGAGTTTCCACTCTGTTGTATTCTATTAGAACAGCCTCTCCCTTGTTCCCATATAGCATTCAATCTGAGACTTGTGAAGACCGTCACATCTCTTCTCTCTCCTTGCTCTCTGCTATTTCTATCTCTAAGAATTTTCCCTTGTCTCCTGCACCCTACCCGTGGAAGCACAGGGAGAAGTCCTAGTTTCAGGCCATTTCCCTACTGAATGCTGTCCTTTCTCTGAGGTTTGGTGTGTGCTGATACCTGACAGAAACCTTCTTGAGTGCCAGCATACCATGGGCCAGCTTTGAGGCCAGGCTAGCAATTAATGGCCAGGAGGTGGAAGCCCCTCTCTAACTCCGGGGGGTCAGAGGCCTCAGCACAGGTGCTTGGCTGGAACGCTGTCACCAGTTGAAGGGTATGGCTGGCTTTTGGCAGTGGATCAGCCTTAGGGAAACCTGGGTTTTGTTTAACTTTCCATGCTGAGGTGTATGAACATGGCATAAGATCCACTGAGTCTCATAGGAGCCATCGCTTCTCCACAACAATCTTTTGGAAACAAAAAAAGAGAAAGTCTTCTGGGGTCACATCATCCAGAAAGCAGATTCAGAAGCAATCTTTGAGCACAAAATGAAAAGCCTCTATAATTACCATATCTTGTTACTAAATAATCATTCCAGAACTTCCTTGAATTGCATCTCTTTTTGGGGGAAGATCATATTCTAGATTTAGATTCCATAATGTCGAGTGTGGAAATAGAAAAGGGCGGTCTTTTTTTTTCCCCTTCCAACATTAGCTACACTGGTGAGGATTCTTTGCCATTTAGCCTTCCAACAAGAGTAGGGAGAACACAGGGAGCCCTTCATTGGGGCTGCCCAGAAGGAAGGTTTTCTGAGGGAAGAGCCAGTGCCCTCACACATGGGGTAGTGTGATGGATGGCTCTGCACTGAGCCACGGGAAAGCAAGCAGACCCTCAGCCTTCTGTTCTCTCCACAAGCAGGCAGACACAAGGGAAGCACAGGTGTCCGTCAGCGAGGGCAGGCATGCTCCCTTACCTGGTGACAGCTACAGGATGCTCACTCTGGCCGTGAGGGGAAGAAGACAGAGCAAAGCCAGACCCCAAGTGTTACTGAAAAGAGGACCACCAGATGGATCCACCGTTGGCTCTTTTACTAGAAAACACAGTTTTAGGAAAACAATTGACCTAGAGAGACATAAAAAGCAAGCTATGTGCCAGAGCTGAGGAACCATTCCCCAGAGTTTCACCAATGAAGAAAATCTCTCAGTAGTTACCCTTTATTGGGTTAAGACTGCCCTGGTCAAACCCCATCCTAACTGACCAGGAAATGAGCATAAATATAAAGCATTTGCGTGGCCCCATAGCATACGGAGCTTGCTCTTTTTCTGATGTGTCTTTGGGGCCCTTCTCATCGCCGTATTGCTTAGCTCTGATAGTATCACACCGATTCACATCATAAACATGTTTTCCACAATCAGTCTTCCTGCACACAATAAAGGCGACCCCCATTTTATCTGGGGGGTGGGGAATGGAGGGCTATAGTCACATACAAAATCTAGTCTTTAAAACAGATTTGCTACCTTCTTGGTTCTTTTCATTAAACTGTGCCAAAGACAGAGTCAACATAAATGAGGAATCTTCAAAAAGTTCATGGAAAATGTATTTCAAAAAATTATTCTTGTCTCAAATTCTTCATTTTTAAAGTACCTTTTTGGTCAATTCCTCTTTGGTGGCTGAACACTGAGGAGAGGAATGGTATGCCTGTAAACGGTACTAAATGTATGTGCCTGACCAGGGAGGCTCGATGCAGTGTTTCCATTTTCTGAGATTCACCCCAGAACTTCTACACAAAAAGCTTTACATTATTATTATCTGTGTTCCACTTCCCCAATTTTCCAGATCATTTAAGGAATCTTTTATCAGCTTTCTGGCCCTTCTCCTTAGTACGATCTTCTGGGACCTCCTCCTTGTTTGTGTTCTTTGGTCCCGTTTCTGCTTGTTAAGCAGCCTTCTCTGCCTGGCCCCCCACTGTATCAGTCACCACCAGCCCCACCCGGCGGCCATCCTCACCTTCCCAGGCCTGTCCCACAGATCTGCTCATACGCTAGGTCCTCCTCTTCCACAAGTCACACAGGGAGAACAGTATTGGAAATGATTACTCTTTCTCTTCCCTACCTTTGTTGTTGTTATTTTTTTTGACAGGCAGAGTTAGAGAGAGAGAGAAAGGTCTTCCTTTTTCCGTTGGTTCACCCCTCAAATGGCTGCTATGGCCGGCGTGCTGTGCCGATCCAAAGCCAGGAGCCAGGTGCTTCCTCCTGGTCTCCCATGCGGGTGCAGGGCCCAAGCACTTGGGCCATCCTCCACCGCACTCCTGGGCCACAGCAGAGAGCTGGACATAGAAGAGGACCAACCGGGACTAGAACCTGGGGTGCCGGCGCCGCAGGCGGAGGATTAGCCTAGTGAGCTGCGGCGCTGGCCACCTACCTCTGTTATTTCTGGGAAGAACCACCATGATGGCAGGCTAACTGCTTTGCGCTCTTACCTCATTTCCACTCAACAGAAACATAGCTAAGTAGGGGGTATTCCCCTAAGGAATTCGCTTTGGAAGATTTATACAAAGGCATAAGATTTATGTTTACATATAATTAGAAAAGTTTCATTTCCAATGTGGCAAATCCTGAAAACTGATGGAAGGAAGAATGGGAGGACCAGGGACATTCCCTGTATGAAAACCTGGAGAAAACAAGGCTGGGTCTCAGCTTTGGCAGTAAAAACAAAGATCTTTTCTTACCATTTGGAGAGGCACCCACGAAGTGCAATGGCTTTGGACACTGAAGTCACCTCACCCATCAGGTGGGGTTGGTAGAAAGACCATTTACCTGGGCTCTGTGTTAATGGAAATGAACAGATTATGACTAACTTGTATCCTCTAATAGCCTATTACACTCGGCTTCTATTCCAGAGAGAAATGCAGACTAAGTTTCAAGTAGGATACTAGCATGTGTATTTTCATATTTCTTTGAAAAAGGTATGATGTGCTGATATGTTACTTTTCCATTCAGTACTTTCAACTGGACTGTCCCATTCTTAAGCTGGCTGGCCATAGTCGCCTTGTGTGTGTTCACAGTCATCCTGTACTTCATTCCACTGAGATACATTGTCCTTGTCTGGGGTAAGTAAAGCTACTTTTTTTTTTTTTTAAACTGCTAAGAACAAACTGTTTTTTAAGGGATGAGTTATACTGTCAGTAGTTCCCTGTATTTATGGTCATGAAGCTATTCCGTGATGAAAAGAGACAGGTCAGTTAAAAATAACAACAGTATCAAGATTTAGGTCTACCTGCAAAATGCATTTTTCTTATCTGGCACCATAGGCTCCATCATACCATAAACATGTAGTCGTGTGGATTCTTCATATATCAAAGTGTAGCTGTGTCTAGATACTGCTCTGATTTATTTTCACCACTTACACTCAAACAGAGGCACTTCGATCCATATGGTGCATTTAGGACAGTATGGTTTTTTTTTTGCTAGGGTACTTTATCTTGTAGAAGTATATGTAAACATGGTACTATACATGCTGCCTGTTTAAGAGGTCACCTTTAGGATTCAGGAAAAAGGTTCCCAGTATTTACAAGCTCCTTAGGAAGAAAAATCCTGCTTTCCATGGACCAGGTAAGAATGCCCCCAGAAAAAGCCACTTAAAGGTGATATTCTGGGTCTTAGTTTTTGTTAAAGCAATTATGATGCATGCCACCACTTCTTGTAAACCTCACTTAGGGGGTAGTCAGTTTCAGCATTCTTTATAGATTTCTCTCCTGATAACATTCTTGGTTTTCAGTCTTTGTGATTTATTAACATATAAAACTGATATTAATGATCCTCGTATACACAATGGTACTTTAAGAAGTTCATCGGAAATGGAATTAAAAGATTAAGTTTATTTTGGTGCAAAAAATTCTGAAATTCATGCAGTTTTTTTTGTAATACTTATTTTCCACTAGATTTAGGAAAGTACGCTTGTGTAAACAAGACTGGGTGGAAGAGAAATTCTCTAACATTGCTAAACCTAAATGAAATGCAAAGGGGGAGTTGTATTCTTTTTACGGCTTTTAAAGAACTACACTGAAATAATAAGTAGGCCTGATGTGTTAAAGTGCAGTGGTTTCCTTTTTTGGGCCATCCTGTCCTAGCTTAGCAAGCCCTTACCACTACCTTTATGTCCTGGGGAGGGGGTGGGTGAAATTCAGTTAAGACAGCACTTTGGTTATGTATGTATGTTCATTCCCTCGTCTTTCATTCCTTCCTCTGATATGTCAAGCAGATGCTGTTTTATTGAAGGCCCTAGGGTAGAGAGTCATGGGTGGCAGCGTATTCATTCTAACCTAAGGTCAGACCTGCCTTGGGCTGGTGGAGCCATCTCTGTCACTACAGGTGACAAACCTCCTTTGTTTCCCCTGGGTCTCTGAAACTGGAGCCCAAAGCTCACATGTGGCTGTGTAACCTGCGTGGCCTCACTTGTCTTAAAAAGTAATTTTGGAGAGTGTGTCTGGGCTTCCCGTTTCATCAAATGAAATAAAACAAGAAGAGTATTCCTTTAGTGGTAGGTGACTGCTGAAATATTAGGCAGAGATTGAAGCCAGGGGTCTTGAATGGTGAGACAGAGTCCAAAATCGGGATTCCAGAAGTTCATTCTGAGTGAACGCCCTGAAAGGCAGCTGAGAGACTAGAGTTTATGGCCATGTTTCACCAGTGAGGTGACTAACTATTCAAGCTGGCTATTTCTCCACAAAAATTAATGCAAATCCTTATTTCAGGTTGAACAAAATCAAGGTCACACGTCTTCTAAACCTCTTTTATCCCTATTTGTTGAACTCTTAGTATACTAATTAATCTTATGTGTATAAAGTTAACTGAAAATAGATCTTAGTAAAGAATAGGAGAGGGAGGAGGAAGAAGGGTGGGAGTGCTGGTGGGAAATATCACTGTGTTCCTAAAGTTATACTTATGAAATGCATAAAGTTTATATACCTTAAATAAAAGGTTTCAGGGGCTGGGGGTGGGGGGAAGGAAGCCAATACATTAGACATACTGTGTTACCAATGTCAGTTCTAAAGTACAAGAAGCTTCGTCCTAAATGAAACACTAAAGCAAGTTTCTAAAATCTGAAACTCTGGGCAGAAGAAGCCCAATTCTGCTCATTCTTGCCGGTGAAATGCTTTTTGTTTTCTTCACAGACTTTCCTGCTTGAAAGGAGAAAGTTGGGTCTCCTGCTTCCTTCAGGAGCAAACTGTGCTAATTTGATCTATCATTTTTCAGGTATCAATAAATTTACGAAAAAGCTTCGGAGTCCATATGCAATTGATAACAATGAACTGCTAGACTTCCTTTCCAGAGTCCCTTCAGATGTACAAGTGGTATGTATGTAGGTTTCATCACTACTGCTGTTGCTTGAATGTAGTGTGGCTGCAGCAGTTTCCCACTCAGGAACTTAATGTGCTTGGGGTGTCCTACAAACAGCTGATAGAGAATATGATAATGAGAGCAGGTTGTATGACAAACTTACCAGGGCTGTCCAGGAGGCGTGCAGTACAGCAGGAGTCTGGGAAAGGAAGTCACCATCACCTGAGGAAGCAGGAGTATTAGATGAGAAGAGCAAAATGTTCCAGTGGACATTGAAGAGAAAAATACTTCATCCCAGAATTCGCAAGAATATGGGTATTTAGTAGGTCAGTGAGTGTGGCAGGGTTGGGAGGGGGCACTGGGTGCTTTTCGAAGACTGGGGACAACTCAAAGCCCTTTGAAGTCCTTGGAGTTCATTGCCTGTGAACCATCAATTCTTTTCAGAAAAAACAATCCTGAAACTGGATTCCAGCAATACATTTTTCCTTTGTTTCAGCTGAGCTTTTCTTTGCTGGGATAGGAGAGTGGGCTGGATGGAGACTAAGACTATATTAAACAAAGAGTAACTGGCAAGGAACCGCACTCTCAAGTCCTTCAGAATAGATAGAGACGCTCTGCAAGTGATTGCTGTAGCCAGCAAGGACCCCAGTGTTCACCTCAGAGCTCCAAGTAGTTTCTGGCAGGATTCCCTTCTGACTCTCGCTCTGTCCTTTGACTGTTTTCTGCATCCAGCTGCAGATACCGAGCACCAACCCCCATCCCGAGTCCCCAAGCAAGTCTCATTCTTTTGCCAGAAAGTGGCCACCTGACCAGCTTTCTCTGAACTCTGTTTAAACAGGTGCAATACCAAGAACTGAAACCAGATCCTTCTCACAGCCCATATAAAAGGAAGAAAAACAATCTTGGCTAGCCAGCTCCCAGCGCTGAGGAGACCGGCATCTGTCTGGGAAGAGAGAAGAAAAAGCCTTCAGCCTCAGCTGCATTTCCTTTCTTTCTGCTTTTTATTTATTTTGTCTTTTTATCACGATTGAGAGAGTTTGTAAATAGTGTACAAAGGCATATGTCTTTGGAAATATACTTCCATTGTACAGACTCAACTTGATAAAGGTTTAGCTACTGCTGTGTGAAAGCCTTGTTAGCTGTGGATAATAATCTAACACACTGCAAGAAAAAATTTAAGAATATCATTGGAAGATACACACGGCTCTAATTACAAGTGGAAGAACTAGAATATTAGATGAAATGTTCAACTGTGTCCTGACTAAATCTACACAAAATGTAAATGTCGATTTGATGTTAGTTTTTTTTTTCTAAATGTGTCTATTTTTCACCTGAAAAGTAACCAATTACAGTTTCCTATGTTTTATACATTTCTAAAGGGGGGGGGTCCCAAAGCTTGAATAATGGAATGGATGCATTTCAATTCAACATAGATCCTGACACCCACTCCTGTGCAAATTACTTATTAGCTGGAATCGGCCTCATCAGACCTAAGTGAAGATACACTCCTACCCTCCACCCCCCCCCCCCCCAGAGGAGTTTTCAACTCTGAAATCCTAGAAAAAAAAGAACTTTCAAACCTTCTATCATTCCATCAAAAAGAAACCTTGAAATCTCTACAGGACTATACAACCAAAATACTGCCAGGTTTATAAATGATTGCCTATGTGAATTTTATACCTACAACTACTTTAATTCATACCAAATTAGCATCCCAGTTCAGTTGTCAACAATACTAGCTAACTAAACCCATATTGCTTTTGGTGTCAGAATATACCTTTGTGCATCTAAAAATTATTTAATACTCAAGTGTTCTCACAGAAAAAGAAATAACCTGCCTTCTCATCAGGTTACTGAAATGCTTTAATGCATACTGTGGTTTTTGTTATTAGTGTGAATTTTAATATCAAGAAGAATGTAGTGTGCTAAGTGATATGCCAGTGTTTCATTACATTCATTTATGAAAAAGTAATCTCTTGATATGAATGCATGAAAACTTGTTTTGTAAAATAAACTGCTTATTGGGGGTGGGGGGTACCTTTAAAAACGTTTCACTACCTACCATGGAATCCACACGTAGAAACTGCATTCCCAACTCTTAATGGTAGTTTTTGTATCTAACTCCCTGATACATGGAGGGAGCATACCTCTGAAGAAAGTGGTCAGTCAGTTGGTGAGAATGTTTTATTACTTCCCTGACTTGGTAGGGAATTCAACTCAGTTGAAATTGCTGCAGACAATGTTTTGCACTACTTTATTAATAAAATAGATGGGGATAGGGTTAAGGTGGGGGCTGTGGTAGGAAGGTCAAAAGGAAGAAATACAGATTTCATTCTAGAGAAAGATTCTTTAATCTCATCAAAGCTGATTTTTAAAGTATTTTTATTTTAGAGATATGTTGTTAAAATACTATTTCTTATACTAGAACTATTTTGATCTGTTTATACACTATGCTTGAAAGAATGTCAATTAAATTCCCTTTCTACAGAAAGGCTTTGACCTCAGTATGCTCTATCTAGCACATCATGTTTAAAACGACATGCTTATATTCGCATACCATCACTGTTCGTTGCTGAAACAATATTCCATAAAGTTGATGTTACAACAGAAAGTTTACTGATGAGTTAATTTGTTTGAAATAACCTGTGATTATTCTTTTGTGAGATTTATGTTCTGCGCTGTCTACTCAGATGTCTATAAGCCTGATATTCTACAACCTCAGAAGTATCAAGTGGATAGTAACCATTAACAGATGACTAATTTGTTTCATTGTATCAGATTCCAGGTGTTTAGTTCAACGGTATTGTTAACTACACATTCACTGCATTAAATACAAAAGAAAACAATCTTTTCTATGTTTAATCAATATTTTTTGGGGGGTGGAGGGGTGGCTTACAGAGGAGCGATGAGAGATTGTATGCATAGTAGAGCAATACAGAACTGATATGAACAAACATGGCCTTTTCTGAAACCTTCACTGTTGCATAAAAATACTTTTGGAGCAGTAAGCATTAAGAAAGCTGACCAGCTTGAGGGATGAAAAGGTTATTGAGGGGATTCCTCACTGCTGTTAGAAAATACTGTACCCACAGACAGAAAACAGATTGTATCTACTAGAATTTTAGTTATTTCTCTCACCTTCTCACACAGGTACAATTTCTTTCTTGAGAACTGAGGAACTTGCCTTGGTTTTAAGAGATTCACAATTCAAATATTTGGAAATCTCTCGAGGTCTAGATGTCACTCTAACAATTATTTGAACTACTAAATAGAGCAAATATTATAAACAACAAATATATTCTTCATTGTATTTTAGTATACTGATGTCATTATATATTCACATTCCAAGCTATTATAGTTTATAATTTCTAAATGCACATTTTAACTTTATGCACCTGTACGAAGTTAGTACTTTAATACTTTACTTTAGCCCTGTTCCAGACTCAACTTGATGAAGTTCTGTAATAATTCCAAGTTAATTTTGAAGCATTCTGTGTACTAGGATCATCTGAGTTAAGGAATTCTTTAAATGCTTTATGTATACTCAGAACCTAAAAATGACCTTATCATAGGCCATGTCACCCTAGTGATAGTTTATTAAAACTGACATCTAGAATTGAAGTAGAAAAGCAAAATTTAACTGATGTTTCTGAAATAATATTTTAAAAGATTTTTTATTCTACATTTAAAAGTGAATAAAATTCAGTAGTCAGTTCTATATCTGAAGGACCATAGGAGTTTTTATTTTTTCACTTTCATCTCAAAATTCAAAGGTCTCCAATGCCTGAAAGTAGTCTAACTTGTATTAAGAAGTTTTACACAGGGGCTGTTAACTCCAGTTTATAAACTTGTTAAATGAGCCTAAATGTTTATAGTGTTTTTGAGTTTTGTACTTAGCTCTAAAAATAAAGTGTGCAGCAGTCGATCCAGAAATCAAGTAAAGACCACCTCCATTATACTTCTTGAAAAAGACTGAGGTGTTGTTAAATTAATACTTGTTTAAATCCCAGGGCTTCCAATGTCTAGTTGAGTGTGTATGTGCACTGATGCTGATTCACTGGTTTGACTGGAGTATCTACGATCAGCTTTTCTAACTACTCAGTCAAGAATGAATTAAAACCACCTAAAACATAGTGGAAGGGATACTCATAACAGTATCATTCCTTTAGATTGTTATTCTTTGTCCTGGGATGACTGCTATAACACACTGAAAGGGAAAAAAGAAAATATGTTATCTTTTTGATGATCTCTCATACCTCAGTTTCTACATTTTGGCTGCCCCAGTGGCAAACTGTACAGCGGTAGTCACATCCTAAGAGTCATTCCAAATGAATCTGAGTTTTAAAAAATGCCAAGGAGCCGGCGCCGTGGCTCAATAGGCTAATCCTCCACCTTGCGGCGCCGGCACACCGGGTTCTAGTCCCGGTTGGGGCGCCGGATTCTGTCCCGGTTGCCCCTCTTCCAGGCCAGCTCTCTGCTATGGCCAGGGAGTGCAGTGGAGGATGGCCCAGGTGCTTGGGCCCTGCACCCCATGGGAGACCAGGAAAAGCACCTGGCTCCTGGCTCCTGCCAGGATCAGCGCGGTGCGCCGACTGCAGCGGCGGCCATTGGAGGGTGAACCAACGGCAAAAGGAAGACCTTTCTCTCTCTGTCTCTCTCTCACTGTCACATCGGCTTGTCTTTTACTAACTAAAAACTTTCTTTAAAAAGCTTAGTGTCAGGAAGAACCCCTGTGCCTGCGCCGCGCCTCAACTGTGCGATGTCTCCACCTAGAGGAGCAACCAACACTAAGCACCGCATGCTGGAA